GCAGGAAACACAGAAGACTGTCTATATATACAATTTAATGATATCACCCCCCCGCAGAACAGTCACTTGCTGGCTGTGTAATATTCCTATGAAGCTACCAGAGCCTAGAGCATTTGGGGAACAATTCTTAATTGGTACATAATCCAGAACTTCATTCCCTCATGACTTTTATTATTTATTCTAGGTGCACCAACAGCACATTAATGATACACCTACTATTTAGATCACCAGGAAATACAATAGTCACATGTCAGTGCACATCTCATATTAATGTCCTTGAGTTCTGGCCTCAGCATCCCAAGGAATTTCATGGAGCAGTAGAGGGTATGGACAGAGAACTGGTGCCCAGTCAGTAACTGCTTAACTGAAGAGAAAGGGGTCAGGGGCTCTCTAATTACCACTGGTGGGCCCATCCATCTCAGCACCAAAACAAAACCAAGTCCACCAGAAGTCTCCCAATATATCATCTTAATTATCAGAGAAAAAATAAGAAAGCATCACCCTCTCCACAGGCTACACATCTTTGCTTTAATAACAAAGAGTGATTCCTTCTAAGGGATCAAGATCTCCCCAGAAAGCAAAGAGACACTTTGAGTCCCCAGAGAACACCCTGAACCCATCTGCAATACGAACACTTTCAATGTGAGTCACATTGACCAAAATCTGACAATCTAGCGGTATAGTTACAAGCTTAGCCAAGCAAAACTGCCCACCTCCACAAGCAGCCAATTCCAAAGGTCAAAGGAAAGTTCTCGTCACCTAAGCACTAGCTTGCCTTTACAAATTATTCAGTCTACTAGTGAGTGCCTCCTCCACAAACTGCGTGCATCCAAGAAAACCAACCGACCAGTGTCCTTCCTACATGCAGAGCAAAGCAACCCCATACCCAGGAATGTCCCCATGATTCCACCTGTGCAGTCAGCCAAGGACGTAAGAGAAGACATCTGAATTATGGCCAGCCTACCAACTACCTCTCTTCTAAATAAGAATGTAAATCATACGAGGAAACATTTCCTGAGTTAGCCCTACACAACAAGTGTTCGTGGGTAGAGAGGCCTCAATTCCATTGCCCTGTGGACCTTCTGGTCCCTTGCAGTCACAGCCCATGAGTTGCATGAAGGCCGTTAAAGAAGGGTCATATTCTGGATTCAGCTCATGAATCTCCCATGTCCTGCACGCAGTGATTTTCATATCCCAGATACAGTTTTCCTGATTGAATTACTCATTTTCTGAAGTAGCCATAGTGATTTTTTTATACGGAAAACAAATAACTATCCCCCTCCCAAAAAAAATTGGGAGAGATTTGTCAGTACTTTAAGGATATAGCTAAAATTCTCAGGTGGGATTCAATCTTACCCTGAGAATTTATCAACTACTTCGAATGTCAAGGTTGTAACTCTTAGCTCTTTTTTAAAAAGTTTTTTTTTTTTTTTTTAACTTAAGTATATGTGTATGAGGCTGCTTGGGTTTATGTGCACTCTGTGCATGCAGGTGCCCAGGGAGGCCAGAGGGCATCAGATTCCTGAAACTGGAGTTATAGATAGTTGTGAACCCTCTGATGTAGGTGCTGGAAACTGAACCTATGTCCTCTGCAAGAGTACTAACCACTCTTATACCAGAACCATCACTCCAGCCTCCAAGGCCGTAAGTCTTAGCTACTTTTAGTGGGTCCTTAAGAACTAACAGAATTTTGACAGCAATTTCCTTGGATGGGAAAGCCACTGGTGTCCTTCCGTATTATCCATCCCAATTACAGTTTCTAGGCATACTGTTTAGCATGATAGTTTAAAGCCCCTTAGGAAAGAATACTGGAGTTTATATGCAAGCTGTCAGATGTCTCACTCAGCCTCTTGACTTCCTTATCATCATAAGGGAGGCAAATAGACCAAGAGAATGTGTCTTAGGAAATCATGTAGCTGCTCCTTTCACCGTGCCATACACATGGGTGTTTGAAGTATTATGAAAAATCTACCTGATTGGTAAGTCAGCTATAGCTTAAATTGCTGTCAACAGTACTTTAGGGGGCAATCTGTTTCCTATCAAAAACATAGTTACTTTATCCTCTAAAAGCTAAAGCAATACACCGCAGGTCGGTATTCCCAATCAGGTTGCATAGTTGAGATAAATTTAATTGTGCTTTGGAGCAGAACTCACAGTAGGTGTTCAAATCTAAAAACTTAGATTTCCAAATGCAAAGTCATGGTCAAGCTCACCTTTGTCTGGAGTGTATACTAGTGATAAAGCGTGGCCTTTGTGGTTCTCATAACCACGGGCCTCAGGTTGCTGCCATACTGGGGCATGAGCAGTAAATGAACCTAGCAGGGATAGTAAAGACCTATCTATCTAAACTCCTCCCTAAAGAGAAGAGAGGAAAGGCTCTCAATCTTGTTGAGGTATCCAGCCCTCAATCAATAGTGGCTGTGTATACTGAGTTTTGTTGGTTCGAGGATTGTGTCTGTAGTGGTTTAGAAAGAAGAAAGAAGGCACGGGTGTTTCTCAAGTCGCCGTATACAACTCAACCAACAAAACGTCTTTCTTTTCCAAGCTTCTGCGGAGCCTCTACAGAGGAGCAGGGCTATCTTCCAGCCCCGGGTCTGCAGAGGAACTTATTGCTTCTGAGAAAGGCCCAGGATAGGTCTGTGGGGAATATGGCATTCCCTTTTGCAGGCCAGTTTCATCATGGACTTCTCCCTGGGTGCTGAAGGCTGGGCACGATGTAGTCCGGGCATATTTCTCAGCTTTGCTGGGCTGACCCACTAGCTCGCTCACAGTGCTCAGAGGGAATTCTCGGCACCTCTGCCTCTGTAGTTCATCCTCCTTGTATTTGATAGAGTACCAGGCCAGAAAAATAAAAATAAAGCCAAGAAATTTGAGACCGGCCGCCAAACCAAAGTAGACAAAACGAAACGACGTCACGTTGTACTCCCAACACGAGCCCTGCACTCCGCATTCCTGCTGCCAGAGCATACAGGTGGTGTCGATTACAGCTCCAAAGTAAATCGGAGTAGGAATGTATGCTGCAGTCATGGGGAGAAAGAAAAACACCAAGAGAAGGCACATCCGTAAGAGAAAACAGAGTTGTAATTAGGTGCTTGTTTATCAAAACTCAAGAGAGGGGAATATTTTCTTATGTTATTTGATTGTTTTTTCTTAAAGACATTTTCATCTTACTGAAATTTATTTATGAGAACATGCTCTAAATTTCAAATACCTTGTATCTTCCAGTTTGCAATTCAGAATGTCTTACTGTTTTTTAGGATCATACAAATACTTATTGCTTTATATATATACCAAATTGTTACATTAAATACTGTTGTTACAGTTTTGTCAATTAGACCTCAATAAAGGTGAAGGAAATACCCATTGCCAAAAAGTGCAATTAGAAAATCCTTTTAATCCTAAAATTGAATCTTGTTATAAAATTCTTAAAAGATTACCCTAGAGCTATTTATCAACTGTCAAAATTCCACACACTTAGTTCACATGGGTCCTAATTCTTGGATGCAGGAAGGGGAAGGGGAAGAGGAGAGGGTTGTCTCCTGCAAACCAGAATGAAGTAGGATAGAAAGACAGAAAATTATATGGACATGGAAAGAGAAAAGAGCCTCTCGCTCTGGAGTTTGATCAAAGTCTCTCTCAGCTTAGAGTCAAGAATTCACAAAGGGCTAGGTGGAGATGGCTCAGTGAGTCAAGCCTCCTGTTGTGCATGAGGACCCAAATTCAGATTCCTAGAATCCACATAAAAAAGCTGGGGATGGCAGTATCTGTAACCCCAGCACTGGAGACAGGAGACAGGCGGATGCCCAGCGGCTCCCTGGCCAGCTGGGCTAGCTGGAACTGCAAGCCCAGGTTCATTAAGAAACCCTGTCTCAAAGACTAAGGTAGAGAAACAATTACAGAAGACATCCAAGAGTCAACCTCTGGCATCAACACAAGCATACACACACACCCACACAGACGTATACACACACACACACACACACACACACAGGAATTTCAGAGCAATTAACAAAATTCACTCTAAAGACCATCTACGTAAGACAACGCTCCTTTTTACAAAGGTATTCCAAATAAGAATGTTAAAACAGCAGTGAAGCATTCAAAAGACCTGTGTGGATACAACCTTCTTCCTCTCTCAGCTATAAACCGTAATTTTTGAGAGGGTAGGACTGAACAGGATGAAGCAGGGAGGGAAGGGGAGAAAAAAGGGAGACGAAGCATAGAGGAAGGCTGACAGCCCATGAAGCTGTGACTCATACATTTTTAAATAATTTATACTTGTTTAAAATTGTGTCTAGGGACGGAGAGATGGCTCAGCAGTTAAGAGCACTTACTACTCTCCAGAGGACCCAAGTTTGTGGTTCCTAGCACCCACATTGGGTTACTCACAACCACCTGAAACTCCAGCTCCAGGGGACCCAATGTTTCTAGTCTCCACGGGCACCTGCACTAGTATGAACAAGCCCCCACAAAACACATACACAAAATTAAAAATAATAAAAACAAATCTTTAAAATGAGTTCTAGGATTAAATGGTACCATTCTTAATGTACTTAAAAGACTTTTGTTTTGAAATTCTGGGAAAATGAAAACTGGCTTGTTGGCTTACCTACAATTTTGAAAACTCAAAAGCAATAAAGATAAACTACATAACAAATTGCCTAGTGTGTTCTCTCTGCTTACAGCTGATGGTGGAGGTGACTCATCTTCACCCACAACCCATGTCAAATAACCCAACACAGAGACAATACAAGGACTTTTTTTTTTTTTTTTTTTTTTCTACTTGATCTCACTTTGGTTAGCAAATTTCTGGCTTTGAAAATAACATTTTTAGCTGCCCATGGTGGTACACATTTGTAATCTCAGCATATGGGAGGCAGAGGTAAGAGAATCACCATAAGTTCGAGGTCTATATAATGAGGTCCAGGGCAGCCAGAGCTATCAAGATAGCCCTAGCCTTCATAAATAAATAAATAGAAACCCATCAACAACAGTAAAAATAACACTTTTTAAATTTTCATCTAAAAGTATAAGCCACAAATCTTAACTATGTGTAAATCTATCAGAATTTACTTTAACCAGCATACTTTTAAAAACAGTATCTTCAAAGTGCTTTGAAGTGTCATTGATACCAAACAACAAACCACCCACTACATGGGCCTGGGAGTATCATCCTGTTGGGGTTTGTTGGACAGTGCTCATCCTTGACCTAGGCTATCAACCCTGACTCATGACAAACAGAATTTCAGGAAGGACAAATGCTTCAAAGCAGAAGAAGGTGCCACTTAAAGATATTTCATCCTTCAAAACTGAAATTTGAATTAAAAACAAACTAATTCTTTTTCTTGTCCTATGGACAATGGCACTGATTAGCCAGGGAAAAATACCAGCTGAAGAAAATAACAGACTGCCACGTAGGAAGGGAGAAATAAGCTTGAGGAGGAGGTCCGTTCACAATACATCAGAACTGATTCCGCATTCACGGTCCCCAAGACTTCACAGGGTGATGGGTGTTGTGTACACAAGTTATTTGCATGCTCTGTTCACGGTACATTACACCACAGAGCTTTTTTTGTTGATGATAAAGACTTCAAGGTATCTCTGTGTGACATCTTGCCACGTTTTTTATTTTCCCGAATTTTCTTTCCTCAGAAAAGTACAGGTATATACCTCATTTGACTCAATAAAGTTACTATAAAGCAGTAAGAAACTGAAATTTTCATCAGTAAAATGAGCCTGATTTTTCTCATTTTCATGTCAAAAAGGTATAAAAAGACCAAAAAGTCAGGCTATCAAACTCATTACAAATTTCTTGATTTCCTATTTCTTGCTGTACAAAACTTTTGGGGAATTTTGTTCTAAGTTAATGTTCAGAGTCAAAAAAACAAAAACAAACAAACAAACAAAAAACACAAAACTAACCTAAAACTCATTTTCTTTTGTTTCATCAAATGAACTTGTCAGTTTTTTAGCTCAGATAAGAAAATGAGGAAGCATGCTCTAAACCACAAACCTGTCCAATCCTAGCCAAAAATGTTATCAAATGATTCAGCTTGTTTTTTTAAAGGACAGTGACCATTTGTCTGCTGCAAAGAGGAATTAAGAGGCACACTTGGAAATTCAAGGACATACCAAGTGTTCTCAACAAAACAAACTGCATTCCCAGCGCAAAGGGTCTTTCCTCATCTTCCACAGACCTATGGGGAAGGGAAAGAAAGAAATAGTGTAAAAGAGAAGCTCCAAGAAAGTGGATGTCAAATCCAGCCTGCTTTGTACCTAACTGGGAACTAAGCAGATAGTTGGGCAAAATATTTAATTCGCTAGAATCTACTAACAACAGTCAAGCAAGATTGTGCCTAGTAAGTCACAGAACCAAGATCTCCTCACTGGAGATGAAATGCAGATGAACTCTATTTCTGGGTGAAGACTGGTCAAGGTGCTCAGCAAAAGGAAGCAACTCTCAATGAGCTTCCCAAACCCATTCTACTAAAAGAAAAAAAAAGAAAAAAATAAATTCACAAAATGTATCTTAGTCCTTGCATTCTGTTTTCCCATTTCTCTGTCTGCCAGAACTTTCCAGAATGGAAGACGTATCCAGTGAAAATCATTCCTGTAATTCTTCCAAAATAAGAAAAAAAGTGCAAACACAAAACCAAAAAGTACAGGCAAATACCTTTTTTAAAAGTCAGGGAAGGAATATGCTTATCTGAGCTATGTTTTTCCACCTAAAATGTATGCTCCAAGTAACTCCTGTGCGACAGGAAGACTGGACCTATTGATTTTGCAGTTAGCAGAGATTAAAGGACTCCACTCCTGAGATTTGGTGTTAGAAGCCAACTTCTAAATTGCCGTGCTGGAACACTTCTGAACATTTTAAAATGGGCTGGCCTTACATAGGTTACTTAATATTTCTTATAGAATTATGGTGTAAAGAACTAGATTTTTTAGGTGACTAAATTTACTAACAGTTCATATAATTTTTACATGCTGAAGCATCATATCCTTTCTGTCTCATACATGTAGGATTCTAGGTATAGGATGAAGGTTTTCCCATGACCAATGCCCTTATTGCCTTTTCCTGAGTCTCTGTGTCTCCTGGCAATTTGACCAGTTCTGCACACTTGAATATTCATCATTATCCACGGATGAAGGAGTGAATAAGCCCAAAAGGCTTCCATGCCTAGTTATCTTCCCTTTAGGAGATTCAGCATCAGAATTGAGCATTCAGAAGTCAGAATGAGTGTGTGATACAGGCTATCCCTTCCCACTGAGCATGGTGCTTCCTGCCAGCTGCAGGGCATTGTTGGGTTAATGAGACCAGAAGGAGGAACAAAAATGGACTCCCTTCCTCATGATCTCGTGGACCACATCCCTGCTCCCTTCAAACCCACAGAGGTGCTCTTCTGGCTTTACCCCACTGTCCTTTCCTACCTCTGCCGACCACAGCCTTTACTGCAAATAACAGCATATTGATTTGAATGTGCCAGCATCAACATTTTCAACTAAACAAAAGTAACTTTCATGTCCTCTTGTAGACAAAAACCCTGAATAGGATATGTAATACAAGAAAGAAATTCAGCCTGGAAGCTCACATTTCCTAGTCTACCCTTTCCTTGATTCAGCTCCAAAACTTTTCTGATACTAAAATTAATGAACTCAGCATTTTGCAATGCAAGCCCAGCATAAATCCTCACTGATCCTAGAGGTGCAGTAAGCACCATCCACACGGCTGGAGATAATAGCTTTTGCAATATGCACGATTTAGCAACTTTACCAGACTACTTCCTGCCCTCCTCTAGGGTCTGGCTTCTTACACCTAACACAACTCAGGATATCCAACGTTATAGCTCAAAGACTTTAGACACCAAAAGCACTGGAAAGAAGTTTCCCTAAATAATGGGAATAGAAGCCAAATGAAACAAGAAAGTTCTAGAATAGGAAATGTTACAGCCATCCTTTTCCTCTCTGACATGCAAAGCTCATTTCTCTTAAAATTCTCCTGCATGCTGCTCTTGCTGTCCACTTGGCTCATCTTCCTGCTTCTTGCAGCATGCTTCCTGCAATGGGCCACCCACCAGAAGCTGGATGTTGGTCTTACCTGAGTGTCACTATAATGGCTGATGGTTGGGCACATGCTGTGATGAAGGTGACTATGAAAAGAAAAACTAAGAATGGGATAAGGGTGTTGCAGGTCCGTTTACACTTCCCCGAGACAGCATAGCCATTTTCATTGAGATACGTTTTCACAATGACCACACGGAGCTGGCTGCGCTGTCCCACTGTAGGTGGGGTGATCACTTGCCGACTTTGGACGCAGGTGCACTCTGTGTAATTCCGAATCTGAGTGAGCAAAATAAAGGTGAGCTATATTTGATCAAAAGCAAATTATGCCATAGGAACACCGAAAAATTTAAGCTAAAAATGCTCTAAAATAACTGTAGTATTTTAAAGAATGCAAAATATTTCACTGAAAATACCTGGTTTGGGTCAAACTATGTGTTTTAATATCAAAATCTGCTAGTCAAACTGTTTAAACCTAAACTTCCCTAAAAAGCTTTCAACACTTAGTTCTATGACATTTGTGTACCATATGCTCATTTAGGGTCATAAATACTTGCTGCTTCAATTGCTGTTGAACTCTTGGGCTCACCAGAGTGCCTAGCACAAGCTTGGGAGCACAGTGAGTCCTAAAATAAATGTCAAGTTCCTAACACAAACATGATTGCTTCATATGGAATGGCGGTAAGTGTACGGCTTCTGTACCAATGATAACGAACTTCCACCAGCTGTCCCTCCAGCATGCTGCTGACATCCTATGAATGAAAGGCCCACAGCACGGGTGTCACTTCAGTCTGGTGACCGTACCTGCTCCTGGTCTCTGACAAACTTCAGTTGTCTAAGCCCAACATAACTTCTTCATTTTCCCCAACAAATATCTGAGTCTCTATTGATTTGTGACATACCAGTAGAAGGGACTGGAGGCACAGAGGGACAGGGGAGATTGAATCTTCTCTGTTAAGTAGCAACATGTCAACTGAACACAAGTACAATTGTGAAAACAAAACTACTGGGTATTTCATAAACTAACAAATGTTAAATTGCCAGTTAATCTTCTCTGCCTATTATGTTCCTTTTTACTGAATAGAAATAAGATGAACTAGTTCTTTTGATGATCAATTAGAAACAGTAGTAAGAACAGGTGTACAGGTATACATTTGACCATCTAGGCAAGCAGGACTTCTGGCCTTTTTAAGAGAACAAGCATTGTGCCCAGGAGGGCTCACTCACTCCCAAGAAACACACTGAGAGGAAACCATCAGATGATCTCAACAAGTCAGACCTCAGACTCACTAATAATAGAGAACCGGCAAAGAAAATTTCCAATGTATCCTCTAGTTTCAAACTCAGAAATCAAAAATGGTACCCCTAAACTTTCAGGCAATAGTGTAGCCCCCATCACCTGCATAGAACAAGTGAATACAGTTTAACCTTTTAATTAGAGCAATCACCTCCAATCTGTTCTTATGCAAAGAGCTAAATCAGGCTCGGTGAAGAATGGAGTAGACTATGAAAACCTTCACCCACGGTATTAAAGCCTATTTATAATTCACAGGGTAGGGAATTCTCAAAATAGCTTATTCCTGAGCTGACAGAAATATCATTACTCTGAATGTTAAGGAGGAAAAAAGTGAACTGACAAGTCTATGAAAAATGTGCATCACTCATCTTCACAGACACCACTTAGGGGAGGGCCGTCCTAGCCTCTAGTCTCTTCTGTCAGCATCAACTGTGGTTACGTCGACCTTCAAATCCATTACAAGGGCCCCGTCAGTGGAACAAATGGAATGCCTGGAGTTCAGTCTTATCATGTTTCCCTGAGTTGGCACCAAATGCAAAGTAGGAGCCAGCTGGCGAAGAACCAGATCTCTAACCCGGATTCTCCCAGCATCCTTGGCAAAAGTGACAGCCCTGCAGGATTTTCTTTATATGGGGTGTTTTCAAAAGTGCTTGGAAGGCCATTTGGACCTCTTAGAAAGGGGAGACTAAAGTCATTGTAGGTGCATATGAATCCTGTCATGTACTTTTCTCATGATGTTAGATTAACAAAGAGAAATTTATGGAGTATACTCACCCCAGTGCTAAGATTACCACTATTAACACAGCCAGCCAGACAAGGGTTGAAGTATGTAATTCCATCTGATCCACAGACTGGCTCATATTCATGTATTTTACAACCACAATTAACATTGCAACTTCCTGTCAGATTTCTATGGGGCATGGTCAGCGAAGGTCTGGGGGATGGGGGGAGAAAAGGATGAAGTCATGAGCAACAAGCACAAAAATGAAACAAAAAGAAACGTTCTTGATAGTTAACAACTTGTCCATTTTAGAGATGATTTTCCCATGAATCAAAGTTATGGTACCATAAAGTAGCTACACTTCATAATTAGTTGTATAAATTTACAAAAAAAATACAAAAAAGTGTTTCAGCTTTTCAGTACTATAGGTGTGATTTTGTAAAATTCTGCCCTACCTCAATCTTGCTGTCCACCTTGAGTAAATGGATCTGGTATTGTGTCTGAGTTCAGTAATTTAAAACTTGATAGACTGCCTCACTTACCTAAAACACTTGGCTCTGTGTCTCAACACTCTAGGTCACAATTTATTTCATTTTGGGGGCTTGGGGGATGAAATCCAGGAACTCAAGCTAAGCAAGAACTCTACCACTGACCACATACCCTACCCTAGTTTATTTTTAATTGATATATAATAGTTGCATGAACTTACAGAACATAATGTGCTATTTGAACACATATATACATTATATAATGATCAAATCAGTGTAATTAGCATATCTTTCACCTCAAACATTGATCAAAATAGAGAAAATACTTTTCATTACTGAATCAATAAAACCATCGTGAGCATATAAACAGAGTCCACTAATCACAGTTACCTACGTAGGTCATCAACAGCTTTAATTGTTCCAGCATAACTTAATAAAGACAGACACAGGTTCTAGAGAACTTCCTCTATTTCTAGAGGAAGTAATTTACAAAGATGACTGTTTAGGAATCATAGCATTGGTTTGATAGAAAGAAGAAAAGAAAAAAGACTACGCAGTTCTCCAGGAAGAATGCCCAGATGTGGGTCACAATCGGATAGGGCAGGTTTTGTTTTCCCATGAGGTCACAGTGACTGACACATGAAACGGAGCACTATGAGAGCACTAGGAAAATCACTTCATATAATAAACATGTACAGACACTTGAGGGGGGAGGCGTGTGAAATGACTGTGAGAACAGAGGCAGACAGGCCCCAGGGTGCACAGAAAGGAGCGACTACAAAGCTCAAGATGATGATAGCTTCACTTTTGTCATCATGCTGTCGTTCTTGGTCCACACTGATGAAATATTGTTCCTAAAGATGAAGAAGTCTGCGAAAGCAGATGCTTCGTGCATCCATTCCACTCTCCTTTATCCATCTAGTCAACAAACATTCGGAAATGTCTGTTATTTTTAAAAATATTTTATTTATTATTTTTATTTCATGTGTATGAGTGTCTTCCCTGCATGTACGTAAGTGCATCCGTGTCATGCAATGCCCGTGGAGGCCAGAAGAGGGTGTTGAATCCCTGGAGCTGTAGTTACAGATGATTGTTAGCTGCCATGTGGGACCACTGAGCCATCTCTCTAGCTCTTGGGAATGTCTGTTATGCCAGCATTTATCTTTTAGTGACCGTTAGTACAGCTTATCCAGCAGTACAACCCACCCTATTCGCACAACTTACTCAGTGAGTTTAATGTGCCGTTTGTTCTAAGGCTTTTCATACTTTGATAACTGAGTCCTCCAATTGAATAGAGAAACAAATGCAAAGCAATATTACAGCCTGATCAAAAGGCGTCTAAGAAAATAAGGCTTCTTCATACATGCCACTCCACAGAAGAAACTTATCACAAGACTGTAGGCATTGTTCACAAACTCTTAGCCACAAAACACTTTAAAGTAATAATATGTTTTTTTAAAAAATTCTACATGAGTGGTTCCAGTAGGGGAAATTTTGTCCCCCAAGAGACATTTGGCAATGCTAGGAGACAGTTTGCGTTGTCCTAACTAAGGGCGTGTTGTTGGCATCTATTAGGCAAGGGTGAACAGTGCCACCAAACATTGTACAATGCTCAGGACAGCCCCTACCTCCCGCAAGAAAGAATTTCCTGGCCCAAATGTCAATAGTGCTTAGGATGAGACCTCAGATCAATGACTACAGACGTTGTTCTGCAGAGGACAAACTGGGGGTTCAGAAGCCCATTGAGTCACTGTGACAGAATCAGTGCCATATTAATGCTGACATACAGGAAGTGTGCAGTGTGGTTTAGATTCACTTGCAGAACTAAACTGCAAGCCATGACCAGATAAAAGGGCTTTTACAAGTCTGCATATATAAGTCACTAAAAATGACAGGCTTCAATACTAGATTTATGATGTTATTGTTGCTGTTTAGAAGTTACTTTGACATTTCCTATGGCAGCACACTCTGCCTTCATTTGTAACAGCCATGGATTACAAATGCCTGTCATTTAAGAGGTATGTGCACTGGAGAGGAAGGAACCTCAAACCAGTATCAACAGATGCTGAGAACAGAGAAGAGCTTTCCTGCGTTCAGGAAACAGGCAGTCTCCAGTCACCTCGGTTATGTATGCTTTTCTCCTGCCTCCGACTTCAGAAAAATGATACAATATTAAAGGCTCTAAGAAAATCAATTCAGGCAACAAATACAATCATAGGAAAGGAAGTGGGTATTCATGAAAAAGTCATTAAGGAAAAAGGCCACCATAGAGCTAAAGTGAAGGTAGCCAACACGGCTTATCTACTGCCTGGGCTGATGTGAAAAGAAACCCTTTAATGTTTGTCTTGTTTATCACTCACTCTTCAGAAAAGACTGATTTCTTGTATCTAAGGCCCAACCTGCTTAGCTCCCAAGATCAGATGTTCAGTATAATACAGCCACATATTCCACTGGAGTCTCACAATAGTGTAAGGGTTAAACCTTAACAGCACTAAGCAACATTAGCCAGAAGTGAACCCGGATGGAAACAGAAAATGCACAAGGACTGCTTAGGGTACACAGCACTTATCCTACACGGAGGGACCAGGCATCACCTTTCCAAAAATGAAAATGTTTCTGACAAGACAGCCTGCCAAATGAGTTGTTCATGTTAGCTTGCAGGTCAGTTTTGTTTTCTGGTTTTTGAGACTGTGTCTTATGTCGCCTAAGCCTTGAACTCACTATGTAGCTAAGGATGATGCCCTGAACTCATGATCTTCCTGCTTCTACCTCCCCTGTGATGGAATTATAGGTTTGAACCACTAACTTGATAAGTCAATGTAAATGTTAATTTAAGTAAAAGACGGGACCTCACTATCAAATACTTTACAACTGGATGCTCCAAACTAGCTGCATCCAACTAGATACTAGCCTGAGAGTCATATGTGATATCTTTATGAAAATCCAAGGAATAATAAAGCTAGAGAAATGGAAGGGATCTCTGAGATTACCTAGTAACTTTGCAAATTTTGAAGAATAGGAAACTATGAGAGCTCTAATGGTATGACTTGCAATCACTGCGACCTTTCTTAAGAAAACCAGCCTGGTGAGACAGGAACAGAACAAAGAGAATAAACCTAGCATAGTGGTACACACCTTTAATCCCAGCACTCGGGAGGCAGAGGCAGGCGGATCTCTGTGAATTTGAGGCCAGCCCAGTCTACATAGTGAGTTCCAGGCCAGTCAGAGGTACATAGGAGACCCTGTCAGAGAGAGAGAGAGAGAGAGAGAGAGAGAGAGAGGGAGAGAGAGAGAAATAAAAATAACAAAATAAAAATATCAACCACACTGACCTTATAAACCAATATTTAAGGAGCAGTGCTTATTGTGATATGCAAAATAGTAAAGCAGATTGATGCTTAATAGAAGTAAAAAAAAGAAAAAAAGAAAAGAAAAATCTCTGGCACAGGTCTATTACAGCTGGGTATGTAAGAATGAAGTTATGCTCAATACACTGTACTCACAAGAGCACTTGTGTCTTACCTGCTTGTCCCAAGATCTGAAGACTACTGGGCCTTCCCTCTAGAAGGCATCTACCTTGTGGTCTCTATAGTTCAAAGAGGAGTTCCTAAACTTTTCATTATGCCTTAAGTTTCTCCCCATTAAAAGATTGACAAGTGGAATCCCAGGTACATTGTGCTTAAAACATGCAAATTAAAGGAATGTGATTCATATAGCAAAAGCCTAAGCAATTAGGGAAAAATGCTATCTCTCTCATAATTGCTTCATCTTTTTCAATTCATCTTATTCCTCAAGAAAACTTCAATTAAAATATTCCCTTCAACCTCACTTAAATTTTTGACTTGGAAGTAAAATCCTCCTTTGGTTATACAGAGCTAAGAACTTCAGGTTAAAAATCATTATTGTCATATCATTATTTAAAATTAACATTAGCAGAGCTCTACTTTCGCTCCATGAATCATGCAATGAGAGCTCTACAGAAGTTACCTTATTTGTACCTCATCAGAATTATAGTTATTATTGCTGTTCAGACAAGGAAACTGAAGGGGTAAAAAAGTAAATATTATCCAAGGTCATGCAGCTAAGAGTCAGACCTGGATTTAAGTCCAGTTTTGTTTCCATACTGTGTTCCCTTAAGCTCCTCTACTAGCGGGGCAGCTCTGTGTAACTGTCCACAGTTTGCTCTTTCTCTCATGAGTCTGCTTCCTGAAGAAGGTTCTAACCAGCTTCCCTGGCCCTTAGCTTCAATGATCCTGAGAATTCAAATGAGAAAGATCCACATTCAAAAGCATCTCCAAATCCATAAATGTTGTGAAATTTAGATTTTTCAATATATAAACAGAGTTCAAAATGTTTATTACATGGTTGTCTGGGAGGTGGGGATTTGATGAGTTGGCATATGTCCAGTGTCCACACTGTGCCCTAGGACACAAGGTGTTGGTACCCTCTATCTATATGTGGCAAAGCATCAGTGGATAGTGCAGACACACTCACAAACATGAGAAATGCAAAAGGCTTCTATTATGGTTTTCTGTTCAGGGGAAGAAGTAATCGTCTAATTTATTCCTATAGAGAACAGAGAACAGAACTCAACTGGGGTCTAATTTCAGGCCTATCATTTAATAGTTCATGACCTTGGGTCAAATGTTTTCACTTGTGGCTACGGTACCCCATCTGCCTACAGGAGAGGATACCAAGGATAATCAGTGAAGGGGCACACAGTGG